ACATACTCTTGGGGCCCAGGTAGAGACTAGAACAAGAAGCTTCGCACTCCGAAACATGTGTCAACTACTTGTGTACTCTCATCTGGGAGTGGCGCAGCACCTCAGTCACCAAATCCTATCTGTCTCACATATCGCTGCCTATCTCCGTATACCTGTATAGTAGTTTCCTCAAGTAGGGGTACTCCAATATAGACCCCAATAATTGTAATCCCTATTATTTCTACCACACAATGGTACTAATTTAGGTAAACATCCGTACCTAAGCCCTACACCCTAAATCCTTCTGCCTATAGCCTTAGACGGAGACGCCTGCAGGGAGCTGATCCTCTTCAAACCGATGACGACGGCAGGACTTCTCGACAAAGTCCTGATGGGTTTCTCTATAGATTTTGGGGTTTAGGGTTTAGGGCTTGGGGTTGGTTTAGTGTTTGGGCTAGACCTAGCAAATAGTCAGCAGGACGGCTGACACCCTCAGGAGTTTAGGGTCATAGGCTTTGATTCGGTGTATTTGGGGGGGTCCAAGGGTATGAGGCTTCGGGCTGGAATTCGTGGCATCTGAGTGTTTACCGGGAATGCAGGATCTAGTGCATCAACATGACAACGTGCCCGAAGGCTTCTTGCTCCCCTTTACTGGAGGTCCTGCCAGGACTATTAATGAGACCTCTTTCCACTTGTATGGGGAGCATTAAGGATTCAGGGTTCAGGGCCTTTCCATGTGTATGGGGGGGGGACTAAGAAAAGTTCAAGCGCTTGTAGCAGTAGGAGGAACACGACGAACCAGCAAAAGCAGCCTACTAAGAAGTTCCTGGGGGCCAATGTCGTCATTCCGCATAGGTACATGGATGTAGAGGTAAAGTCCCCATGTAAGGCTTCAGCCCCAAATCTCCACACCCCAAGCCCCCACCCACTCCCTAAGCACCTATAGACATAGTTTTGCCTTAAACCTGCAACGCTACAGTTTAAACCTGACACCTTCAACCAGATGTAGGCAAAACACTGGCTCGAAGGCCATAAATCTACATAGTTGCGCGCTCATCCCCTTAAAAGGACACTCCTCAAAGTACCCCAATGGCTACAGCCCAAATGCTTAAATCTGAACCCCGAGACCCTGAATGCCTATACTCTACATTCAATCCTAAATCCAACCCTAAACCCTTAACTCTAAACCCCAAACCCTAAACCCCATCAACTCTAATCCCTCTATCCCCCCAAAGGGAGACCCTTGGAGGACGGCTTTGGACTACGCCCGCGAGTCCGGCAGTCGAGCTGACTGGCGCTCAGGGTCAGTTTTTCAAGTTCACGGTCTAGAATTTAGGATGTAGGGTTTAGGATTAGGGTTTTTGATAGGGGCTTAAATGAAGGAAATGGGATATATTGGGTCCGTTTTGAGGGGTTATGTAGGAGTACGCAGGGGTTATGTAGATTTGGCGGTCTTTTTGGCTTACCATAGGGCCTAAAAAGGTTATTAGGGAGATGTCGGGGGGCGATAAAGAAAATGAAACGACGGTATCTTGTGGAGTTTAGGGGTTCCGGATTATATACAGCTTAGGTGTAGGCAAAGTTTAGATAGCCCAATAATGGAGAATCGAATGAACATGAATGCAGGCTGGGTGTATATCCAGGTTTGCAGGGATTGCGTATGTAATGTAGAAGCCTGAACATGTTTTCAATATGATGGTCTTGGATTCCTTGTCTATACCTATGGTATACTGTGTCTTAGATAGTCCTTAAAATGATATTGGTAGTGCGTCCGGCTTCTAACTACATTCCCTAGACCTCCACATACCTACAGAGAGGCCTCATCTAACGTAGTAGGGTTCAGGGTCTAGACCTCCCAAATGCCCATAACAGTAGCCTAAGCAGCCATCATTATGATGTTGGCTCTTGTTGTGGATTTGGGGTTCTCAGGTCCAGGTCTGGGTTAGTGGGCTGTCACATGGGAGTCTACGATTCTACAGAGTTGACACTTTTCAAGCGAATCGTGAGAACACCACTACAAAAAAGCAAAACATGCATAGCAGTTGGGTAAAGCAATGTACGTGAAGAATAGTTTGAAACTTACTTGGTTCAACCACCATCCTTGGGTTTTGTTTTGGAAGCTCGAAGTCGGCAAGACAACTTTGCCTGTGGGCAACGTACTGATGGATGGGCGATGATACCCTGAACCCTAAACCCTGAACGTTAAACCCTCAACTTCTCAGGTCGTTGAGGCTTTGAAGCTCTACCGGCCCCTGGAGGAGGCTTGGAGGGGAATCAGGTTTGGATGAATGATAAGGGGTTGGGGGTTCAGGGACTAAGGATTTAGGGACGTTCCGTGTTCGTGTTGTGAAGGATCACATGCGGAGGCCTCAAAAACAAGAATGGCTGCAGTGGATGTAGATGGGTGTTTCCGAAAATTAGGGGTTCCCTCCTAGGGGTCGCGAGGTCCCTATAATAAGGGCTATAGTATATCAGAGTCTATATTGGGGTGCCCCTATTTTGGGCAACTATCAGATGGCGTAATGGTGGCGATGTTGTTGTTTTTAGCTCCATGGATGTGTTTTCTTGCTGCCCAGATGCTGTGCTCCAAATCAGTGTCCTGCATCCTCAAGCAAACACCCTTATACGTTTGGGTATGGATCTCCGCACAGGATTCCATGCTTAAGAGTTTAGTGCTCTAGGATGTGGGATTCCTGTGTACATGTCCCATCGCCCCAGCAGGTTCGGGGCGTACAGATTTCGAGTGACAGTGACAGGTTTTAAGGCTTGAAAGGTGGGGGAGCAATCTGCGTTTGAGCCATGTTCTAATCTCCTAGTATCCCCCTTAATCAGCCTGATAAAGTTACCCTATACAATCCCCTATATAGCCCCCCTTTTAATGAGCTTCGACTATAGCTCCTTTGGTGGCCTAGGTTCCGAAAGGCAATGTTGCCAAAATTAGAAACTGATATGATCAGCAGGCATATCATGCCCAAGTCATTATTTAGGGTTTGGGTTTAGGGTTTAGGGTTTAGGGTTTAGGGTGGAGGAGATTAATAAACCCCCTCCCCTTAATAGGGATTATGGTAGGGATCCAACAATTAAGGGCCTTAAAACGAGGGGTTTTAGTTTTTTTTGGGGGGTCTTCATTATAATGTACCTCAAAACCTTCTTCTACTTGAAGTGTCAGGGGGACTTAGTAAACAGGTTCATGATCAGGATAACTAGGTTACTATATGGGTTGTAGGGGTTAATGACCTACTTACTAAGTCCCGTTGACCCTGCAAGTACGGCGCTGTATCTTGGATGCTGCCCTTCACTTATTATTGTCACCAACTAGGCACTACAAGCGCAAGTATACCATGCCCCTAATCAGTACCCTATACTTACGTGTGTAGTGGGTAAGCCTACAGAATTTCTAAAGAACGCCTCCTTGGTAACGACCTAAGCCACGACCCTGGTTGTATTCAACCTTAGGCTGTACTGTACATACCGTTATGAGAAACTCCTGCATCAACTATCGAACCTCATGCAATAGGAAGAGTCTGACGACCTCGACCGGGACCGCCCATTGGGAAATGGGGCTTGAAGGTTGAGGGTTTTTGGTTTTGGGCTTTCGGTTTGGGATTTCGGTTTTGAAATTTGGGCTCTGCAGTTGGTCATCAGGGTTTGGGGTTGAGGGCTGTAGCGTTTTGCCATGGTCGGAAAAGATATAATTTGTTGCTAGAAAAAGCGAGGGGTTAAGGGTGTAGGAGTACGAACTGGGATCCGATGTAAACGCCACGTTTACTATGCACACATCTATGCGAACACATTTAGCAGTCTAGCCCCTTACCCAACAAGCGATCTGTGTGGCCAAGCATTGATGTTGCACTCGCTTGAAGGTATAGGGCCCCCGGGCCAACCGCCTACCCCCTAACAATAGGGTCTCCAGAAAATACAAAAAAAAAGATAGGCGTCCTCTACTGAGGGCTTTGGGGAGGCCCTGGGCATTCTGTACTTTAAAGGGATGGTCTGGATTCGGTTACGAGCCCAAAACCAACATAAGGATAGTTGTGAGGCATCTTTAAGCGGCGGCCGAAACTCATTGAAGAGAGTCTCTTGGCAAGAGTTCGTGCAGCTTTATTAACTGTTAGGTATTCGTGTACACTACTTCTTAAGTGTGTAGCTACAGGAAAGGGGGGAAGTCGGCATGAATTACGGGAATCATGTTCTGCCTACTTGCAGGAGTCTATAGCTGCAGTCATCCGGCCTCAAGTAGATCAAACTTTGAGGTGGAAGGCGCCAACCTTTCTTACCTCCATCCCCTGATATTAGTGTCTACTCATGGAGAACGTATGCAACTGGGAGGGTTCGCATCGTTTTGAGAAGTTTGGGTTACGACAGCATCATCGAAACCTGACATGCATAGAGGAACTGCTCACTAGCGCGTACCTGGCGACTTCGTCGCCCTTAGCCCTACACCCTGAACCCTAAACTGGTGCGCAACCGCTGCCGCGGGAAATGCATGGCTGATGACAACTTCTTTGCCCAGAGTTCCAGACCATGCGTTTCTTCGCTCAGCATGATAAAAGTGTCGTGGTCCAATCGGCATGCAACTTTTGCGTGCCAATTTGCAGAACGTGGGATATGTTGAGGGTTGAGGGTTTAGGCTCATGACGGGCAACTTTTGGTCGTGGATGAAGAAGACATCTCAAGGTGGAGGAGCAGCGGTGTGTGCATAGATGTGGCAGCTTCTAGACATGGAAGGGGCCCGTGATGCACCCCAATATACGATAACCCTCATTATAGAGAGGCCCCTCAATTCCTGAAACCCCGAGATGTGGCGGTTTTCTCCAACTTGGTCCCTTTTTGGGCGTACCTATACTACTGAGGTCTATTTCCATGAAGAACATTTATGAAAGCCGTTTTCTTCTTCCTCTCACCTTGAGCGCATGTATGACAGGTTTAGGGTTTAGCTCGGTTAACTAGATTGGACTTAGCATCGCGAATTATATCGGCCTCATCCCAATTGCAGTTGCTTCAGCTTCTGAAATTAACATGAAACGGCCAGCACCAGCCGAACGAGCTTTGTCGAAATGCTAGCTGGAAACCTTCTCCATCCCCTTTTAAAACGTCCCTCCCATGATATGATGGTAAGTTCAACCACGAAGCCCCAAGTTTCTGCAGGAGTGACCGCCGCTGCTGGTGCCCAAAGAGCTCTGGCCGAACGCAGCAGAAAAGACATTTGCCAAGATGACACGCGTAAATTCGATCATTGTGATTCTGGATTCCTTGTATGATCCTGGTGTCGAGTACTTGAAATAGACTTTAAGCAGCAATTGGGGTTACGAGCATTTTTCAACAACAGGCACTATTTTGGGCTGATATGCCAGCATGAGCTGTTCGCCTGAACTATATGTTTGTCTCGAAATAGCATCACAAGCACCTGCCAACAAGGACCCAAGAAAATCAAATGGACCCACATGAGCTGTAGTCTAAGCTCCGTAAAGGGGGTTATGTAAGGGATTATATAGGAGAGTAGTTTTAGGGGTTATGAGTCTAGGAGTTTAGACTATGGCCCACATGAAAGGCGTCATTGGTCTTCTTAGTCATCCTGCAAGAGCCAGGTACCGCAAACTATTGACGATGCTTGCGATGTGGGATTGCGCTTTAAACAGCCTGTCAAAAAAAGATACTCGAGCTAGTTTTGTGCTTGTACCCTCCAACCACAGCTTAGAAAGCCACCTCAATGCGAACGTGCATGTAGCACTTGAACGCTTCTGAAAGGTAGGGATCCCAGATCTTATCGAGGCCGCCCCATCATGTTCGGAAAGCCCCAAAGGCATTTTAGCTGGCTGTGAAGGAACTTAAATTCAGTTACCATAGTCTGGACATACGGTAAATCTTACCATGCTTTCCCCATGATGGCAATGACGCTCAAGTTTGTTAACAGCAACCCAGTTGGATCCAAGGGACGCGCGTCTAGAATAAAACAAGATCTGAGTTCCCCACACCACCCTAAAAGTTTCAGCCCAATTGTCCTCACATGCAGCCCTAAACCCTAAATCCTAAACCCTAGTCACATGATAGTTCTACTGCCCTGACGTTTAGCGGTTGGGTAACTAAAATCCCCTTCTTCAGAAAGGAAACCCTCGGCTTCCAGATGCGGTTTACTTGGGTGTCAGGAGGACTAAGTAAGTAGGGTAAAGAAAATGGAAGCTACTATACTGTGTAGGGTGTGAGGTTTAGGGTTTAGGGTTTAGGGTTCAGGTTTTAGGGTTTAGGGTCAGGGGGACTTATTAAGTAGGGTAAGAAACCCTGTAGCCAATTTAGTAGCCTCATTTATCCTAATCATTAGCCTACTTATTAAGTCCCCTTGACCCTCCAAGTAGGGTGTAGGGTTTCAATTCATGTCCCATTTTCTTGTCCATTTGATTCTCCGTTGTTGGGGTAATATCCCTAGACCAGAAGCCTTTAAGATTTAGGAGTTAATAAGCGTCATTATCCCAGTCATGGAATCAAATGAAAAATGAACATGAAAACATCCTTCAGAGCCATAACCAAAGGTTTGCTAGAAGCCCAAACTTACTTGGGGCTAGTAGGAGATATGGGAATATGTCGTTTAGGTGATTAAGTAGGGATTCTATTCCTTTGTTCCCTACTAACCACTAGTAAGCAGAGCCTTAATACCGGAAACCCACGCCTGATTCCGCAACCATGTAACCCTAAACCCTAAACCCACTCCTGGTTATATATAAGGATCCCGAGAACTTGGCGTTTTTTGGCGAAGCCCCGAGAGGCAGTCAACTCAAACACTTCAGCCTGCAACGCCCTCCCACTGATCTTATTTTGGGATTTAGGGTTTAGGGTTTAGGGTTCAGGGTTTTAGGGTTGGTTTAGGGTTGGTTTAGGGTTTTTGTGCCAGTGAAACGCACATTTCCGGGAAACGTTTGGCCATTTGCTACCAGAAGCAGAAGCACAGAAGCACATGCCCAGACTGATAGTACGGAAGGCATACCAAGAAGTGTCGAGAAATCGCTGCATTCCAGCCCCGAAGCCCGAAGCCCCAAACTTCTGTATGCGGCCTTTTCACCCTATACCACCCAACCCAAGACTATGACTTAAGTACTCCAGGATATATACAGGTCTAGGGCTAGGTTTTAGGAGTTAAGAGTTTAGGGTTATAATCGCCCTTAAGTAGATAGAATACGTGGTATATGAAAACCTTATCATAATCTACCCAAAACCATATTCCATTTACTCAAGGGGGACTATACCCTAAACCCTAAACCCTATACACCATATTCTATCTACTCAAGGGGGACTTATAGGGAAATCCACAACTTCCCCCAAAAAACAGCGTGCACCATGCGGCTGCGGCTGTGGGTTGAAGCAGATGCTCACCCAGATGCCGAGGCTCCTACGGTGGATAGGGTTTAGGGTTTGGGGTTTAGGGTTTAGGGTTTAGGGCTTAGGGTTTAGGGCTTAGGGTTTTGGGTTTGGGGCTTAGGGTTTTGGGTGGTTTGGGGGGTTTGGGGTTTAAGGTTTGGGGTTTAGGGTTAAGGTTTAGGGTTTAGGGGTTTAGGGTGGATTCTACAATTCCTGCATATTACCCTAATAATATGAAGAATCAAGGGGAAAAGAAAATGGAAAATGAAATGGCAACTGGCATGATATGGGGTTTATGTGGTTGATACATGTTGATACTAACATCCTGCATGACCCTAAGTGCCCTAAACCCTGGGAGTTATGGCGTTATCGTCTACTAAGCCCATGTAGGTTTTGTAGCATCACCATTCGTGTTCGTTTTTTAAGTGCGAGTTTAGGGTTTATGGCTTCAAGGATTAGGAGTTTGAGGTGATAGGATTTGGGGTTCAGAGCAAGGGTTACTTGGAGGGTCAGGGGGACTTAGTTAGCATAGTAATAGCCCTTATAAACCATATAGCAGCTCTAGTTATCCCCGTTAGAACCTACTTCCTCAGTCCCCTGAACCTAAACTTAAACCTTGAACCCTGGAGCCCTAAACCCTAAACCCTGAATAACAGAGAGTAGTTTCCCAGGGCTGGGTATCTAGGGGTCAGTGTAGGGGACCAGAAGGTATTCTTCGGTTTTTCAAACTCCCCTAAGACCGAAAAACCCTCAAACTCGTGTTGAATCGGCATTCCCCACGTCTTCAACGAGCTGAAACGCGGGACGTACGGAAACCAGCCACCATGTAATTTCCAGGAAAACTTAGGGTTTGGGCTTTAGGGTGTTGGATTTACGGTTTTGGGTGTCTTGTCTATGGGTCATGAAGGGCACCTTATGAGAAACCCTCACCCTAAGGGTCCAAGTACCTAATAATCATATACTTACCCAAAACCTGTACTATAATTACTATTACCCAAAACCCAAGTACTTAATTATTGAGTATATGGACCCTCTGGGTCAACGCATTTGTGTGT